GATTTTCGATAGTGAAAATCTCCATAACTTTGATAGAATTAACAGTGATAGCCAAATTCAATTATGTAACACCGATCATTTTAAGATTTTGAGTATTTACTTTAAACATTAAGACTTTAGTTGTTTGAAGAATTAATATTTGAATGTTATTTTGTAGGTTCAATGTCTAACTTTATGGTTCAAGATTATTTTAATTATTTATTTGCTTCTATGAGTTATATTATTTTTATTTTTTTTTTTTTGCATTGAAAGTGAATTGCTCGAATAGCTTACGCAATGCGCTACGCTATTTACACCACGCAATATAAAGACCAAAACACGATGCATTGCGCGATGCGCGTTTTAAAACACTGGTACATTAAGTGGGTCCTATCAAAAATAAAATGGACCCCACTCCATGTGAGTGTTATGTACGTTCTCTATATATATTTATTTTGTGCATGTAGCATTATTCATTATTTTAAGTATCAAACAATGAATGTGGAGCAAATATGCTTAATCAAAAAAATGCTACTAAAAACGATTTGGAGAGTTTATTATTTGCAGGGTGATCGAATTATTGATGTTATTTGATCGGATAATATTCATCAACAATTTCGAGAAGGTTTCTGTGTATGTTCTACTAAAATCATCGAGTCGAGAGCAAAATTTACGGCAAAACTTAACAAGACAAATACAAGTGTGATTTTCCATGCATCGATTTAGTTTTAAGAGCTTTGTCACTTTGGATAATGTCATTAATATTGATAGATAAATATTGTTTGGTATGTCACAATTACAGTTTTGCTATGAATTAAATTTGATAAATCATAACAAATCGTCAATCTTCGATATACACAAATAAAACTATACCATATTCTCTGATTATTTAAATAATACTAATAATTTTATAAATATGGTATAGTTTATTTGTTTCATATAGAAGATCGGCTCTACTATATAGGCAATTGTTGGCTTCATATTAAAACTGGCCAAAATTATTTCAATTAATTATGTATGAAATATAAGTTTTATCAGGTATGTATATGTTCCTATGCTCTGAAATTAATTACACATTCATATTATTTAGATGTTATTGACTTGGTTGTTGAGATACAACCCATTCAAAATGATGTTGAAAATCTTATTTTATGAGAAACTTACTTGCCAAAAAAATAAAATCAAGAATGTTGTATACTACCAAGTATTCAATTATATATGATTTTTATTTCTTAATTTTTATTATCTTGACGAGTATTTATTAGAAAAATTATACTCTCCCAATTCAATATAATTGACGTTTTGGCTTTTTGCACAGTAATTACGGGATATTTATTTTCCAATAATACCCTCATTAACTCAAATTAAAAATGTGGACCAATATGTGAGAAGTGGATATGAAAAGACAAAGCTTATCAGGTGGAGGGGTAAATATGGAAAAATATTGAAAACAAAACTTAAAACGACAATTATATAGTAAATGAGCCCAAATGCCAAAACGACAAATATATTGAATTGGATATTAAATCTACTTTTTAGAATATATGATTTTAGTAATTTTTAGAATTTTTATTGCAACAATGTGATGTTTAATTAAAAATAATTATATTTTTAAATAAAGTTGTAAAAAAACTTTTGAATAGTAAAACTCGCCCGTGTGGTTAGCTCACTAGTTTGCAGAAAACGAAAGCCCTAGCTTTAGTTTAACACCAAAAACAGTTGATCATCACAGTTGGGATTCGATTATCACCTCCAAAATTCAGCTCCTATGTTGATATGGCTCATATATTGACAAAGGAAGGAGGCAGGCTGATGCTTGCGAGTGTAACGGAGCGAATGTAGCGAGGGAAGCGGAGCAACCGAGTGAAGTGAGCGGAGTGGAGCGAGGAGTTTCTTCAATAGAAGCTGTTTCCTGCAAATTTTCAGTTGTTTTCCTCGATTTGCTATGGATAGCAAAAGAAAACGATCCGGCCGTCGCCGGAAGATTCCCGACGGCGAGCGGAAGAACACGGCGGCCCCCGGGGATAGGATCAGCGCCCTGCCGGATGACGTCATCCTCCACATTCTCTCGTTCCTTTCACTTCGGAGATCCTTCCAAACAAGCATCTTGGCGAAAAGGTGGAGGTTTTTGTGGGCTCACGCCTCCACTTTAGATTTCAGCTTTGAGATCACCGACTTAGAACGGCTAGGGTATGCAAAAGACTCACCAGAAATCGTCAACAAGGTTATGTCGCAGCTCAAAGGGAAGAACATAGATTATTTTTGCCTACGGTATGACGAACCTTGCTTATACATACAGGATGAATTGCTGGAGACGTGGATTGCCACTCTCGTTAACCGAAATGTTTGTCGGCTTCATTTTGATGTAATGAACTATATGCCTATGTGCCTCTTTACTTGCAAAACCCTTGTTGATTTGAGTCTTAACGGGTCTTGTTGTCGCGTGCTGTTGGCTGGCAGTGTGTGTTTGCCTGTCCTGAAGAAGCTTCGAATGTGGTATGTTTGTATGTCAGAATCTGATGAATCTTTCAAGAATCTGATTGCTGGCTGTCCGATGCTTGAGGAGTTGATCATTTGGAGGTCATTTTCTTATTTTTTGTCGGGGTGTTTTGTATC